TGCCTGTCTTGACTCGGGACTTGACTCGAGACTTGAATGCAAAGACTCGAGACTTACTTGTGACTTTAAAAACAATGACTTGGTCTCACCTCTGGATACTAAACATGGTAGGATTACATATATGTAAGATGACATGAACGAGTGGTTCCATCATAAGCCCAGCTGGACTCAAATGAAGGTGTAGAACCATCTCAAGGATGATCAGAAGAAATGGACAGCACCTGAGTTAAATATATGAGTGTCACAGCAAAGGGTCTGAATACTTAGGACCATGTGATATTTCAGTTTTTCTTTTTTAATAAATCTGCAAAAATGTCAACAATTCTGTGTTTTTCTGTCAATATGGGGTGCTGTGTGTACATTGAGGAAAAAAAAATTAACTTAAATGATTTTAGCAAATGGCTGCAATATAACAAAGAGTGAAAAATTGAAGGGGGTCTGAATACTTTCCGTACCCACTGTATATATGATTTAATGTTGTGAAAATCAACACATTTATTTCATTTAATTTTCCCCTTAGAAATGATTAGGTAACTATGGTGAACTAAACCATGCTCTGGCACCCCCTTTTTAACAAAACAGAATGAAGTAGAAAAAAAAGAGTCTGGTCTGCATCTGTATTTTCTATTTATGACACCCCAGTGCTGAGCTCATGCATCTAAATCTTAGGTATCCCAACAGGGCAGATGAGTCATACTTGACTTCTTTATGTAAAGTAACATATCTTTTTCGTGCCTCCACTGGGAGTGGTGTGATAAATCATGTTTGACCTTACCCCACCCTCAAGGCTATGGAAAGTGTTCAGCAACACCTGTTAATTGACATAAACGCTCAGGCTGTGATGACCTATGTCTAAGGCTATCTGAAGGCTAAGACGGCATGCTGAATTTATGAAATCTGTTTCATGTCACAGAAGCTTCCCATGCATTATTACATAACATGCCTTAAGCACTCTTTTATAGGCTGTTTTCTTTCAACACAATGCATACGGGCTTTGCATTGAGTGGTAGCCACAGCTCAATAAGGATTGTGGGTTGTTATTGATGTTTTGTTTTATTTTGAACAGATTGAGCGCCGTATGGAGTTGGTGCGAGTCGTTTCGCATAACGCGCACAAAAGAATGGTCGCGTGTTTGCAGGGGCAGATAGGCACTGATGCTGAGAAGAGACATGTAAGGGCATAACAGTGCTTATGACTGCACAAAATGTCAGTCATCACCACATATTTTATCTGCTTGAATTTGCATGTAATGTTTCACAAAAACACCCTGGTTTTGCGTCACAGAAAAAGCTTCCACTAACAGCGCTGTCACAGGCCATGCAGGATGGCGGAAACCAGTTGGGGGAGGAGTCTCTGATTGGGTAATTGGATGACACCAACATTTAAATAGATTTTAATCTATTTCCACTTAAATCTGGTTGCTTATTGTTTAGATTGGTAATGGATTAGTTCATTGTATCATTTAAATAAGATGATGGCACAAAAATGCACTATGTATAAAAGTGCTTCAGTTGCGTATTAAAAAAAAAGTGCTGGTATATTTAGGTTTTTGTTGGTATGTTATTGTGCATTTCACAAATGTATTTAAAAGGTTGGGTTCAGTAAGATATTTTTTAAAGAATTAATACTTTTATTCGGCTAGGATGCATTAAATTGATCAAAAGTGACAATAAAAGACAATGTTATGTAAACACATTTAAAATAAATGCTGTTCTTTAGAACTTTTGAATCAGTTAATTATGAAATAAATTGTATCACAGTTTCTACATACAAATATTAAGTAGCACAACTGTTTGCAACATTAATAATAATAATAAGAAATGTTTCTTGAGCACCAAATCAGCATATTAGAAAGGTGACATAACAATTATTAATTGTTACACAGATGACTGCTAAAAATTCAGCTTTGTCATTACATACATAAATGATATTTCAAAATTTATTAAAATAGAAAAGTAATAATATTTCACAGTATTACTGTTTTACTGTATATTTGATCGAATAAATGCAGCCTTGGTGAACATGAGAGACTACTTTCAAAAGCATAAAAAAACGTACCTACCCCAAACTTTTAAACGGTAGTTTATATTTAATATCTTCTATGCAGGAAAATGATGGAGATGTGCGGAGATGCCGAGAACAGACTGGCCTCTGAACTAATGCAGCATGAGATGAACATTGAAAAGGAGATCTTAGACACCCTCAATCAGCTAGCTGAGGTACAAACAAAACTCGCCTTCAGAGACTATACATGCTCATTTGCCCAATTTATCATTTAGATCACCTTTGCTGAATTTTAATATCGGCCACTTATTGGTTATCTGACAGTAATATGACAAATTATTGGTATCGGCCAGAATTTTAATAGTGATGCATACCTTATCTTATTCTTTTGTCAGGTGGACATTCCTAACATCCTGAAACAGCGACGGCAGTTAGCCAAACTGGTGCTGGACTATGACTCTGCCCGAGCGAGGTGAGGTTTCTGTAATACATCTTGGCTTTATTATATCATAACTCTAGTTTATAACTGAAACAGTCTCTTCACAGGTGGTTGCAGGCGACCAAGTCCATAATCTCAGGAACAAACACACAAGCACTGACAGCCAAAGCAGACTCCCTTAAAGAAGAAGTCGACGAAGCTATGAACAAAATGGAGCTGTGTAAGGTACTGATGTGCAACGTGCCTAAACATGCCTTACCCTTGTGAGTTGCTTAGTTATGGATTTTACACCAACGTATGGTCGCAGGGGCGTAAGAACGGATCACATCATACAGCTCATTGGCTTGGTTGATGAATAACAATTAGATGACATAACATTTGCTTAGTTTTCCTAACCGATTTGCTGAAAGAAAGGTAAGTTTGTGCTTGTCATAGGAGGATTACCGTTCAGCCAAGCACATTGAAACTCTCAACATATATTGTTTATGAAGTGTGTGCAGAGTTTGAGATTTCTAAAAATAATATATAGTAATGTAAGTATGGAGTCAGTAAGTTTTTTTTTTTTTAAAGAAATTACTTTTCAGCAAGTGCTGTGCTAAATTAATCATCAGTGACACTAAACAAATTTGTAATGTTACAAAATATTTGTATTTCTAATATATATTTTTTCATCTATCTATCTATTCATCAATCAAAGTATCTTAAAAAAGTATCAGGGTTTCCAGAAAAAGTCAAGTCACCTTTATTTGTATAGAGCTTTATACGATACTGGTTGTGTCAAAGCAGCTTTACAGTGTTAAACAGGAAAATAGTTTGTCAATAATGCAAGAAGACAATAACAGAGTCATTTTTCCAGCTAAAGTCAGTTCATTGATGATTCAGTGATGTCATCATCCAGTTCAGCTCTTGTCCAATAGTATCTGTGCAATCAGTCAAGCGTCCCCAACTAAGCAAGCCAAAGGCAACAGTGGCAAGGAACCAAAAATCCATCGGTAACAGAAATGTAGAAAAAACCTTGGGAGAAACCAGGCTCAGTCGGGGGGCCAGTTATCCTCTGGCCAGACGACACCAGCATGGTGTGGTTTATTTCCAGCCTGCAACACAGGTGCAGAGGACTTGTCGGGTTCCTGTGGTCTTGTGATATCAAATGGCCAGAGTTTTGAGATTGCAGTGGACGTGAAGGACAATAATGCGATAAGAGCTCGCTCAAGTATTGAGGAGCTAAACCATTCAGGGCTTTATAAGTAATTAGCAAGATTTTTAAAATGTATTCGTTGTTCAATAGGGAGCCAATGCAGAGTTGACAGAACCGGGCTAATGTGGTCGTACTTCCTGGTTCTAGTAAGAACTCTAGCTGCTGCATTTTGGACCAGCTGGAGATTGTTTATTAAAGGGATAGTTCACCCAAAAATGAAAATTTGATGTTTATCTACTTACCCCCAAGGCATCCAAGATGTAGGTGACTTTGTTTCTTCAGTAGAACACAAACAAAGATTTTTAACTCAAAACGTTGCAGTCTGTCAGTCATATAATGGAAGTGAATGGGAATCACGGCTTTGACAGTCAAAAAAAAACATACACAAACAAAACCAAATTAAAAGAAAATAATTATTTTTAAGTTATTTTAATCTCAAAAAGATATGTTTTATCTCAAATAAGACTAGACATCAGTCTGCTTAATTCAAAGTTTATCTGCCCTGTGGCAGAACCATTGAGCTGCTAGTCAGCCATTTGCTGACTGATTTATGATGCAGCGGTTGTTATAACTGCAAAAATCTAATGTGTAATCAGTGTCGTAATTATAGATATTTTTTTCTTTCTGACTGAATAGTCATTAAGGCTCAGTGTGTGTGTTCCTGTTCGGCATGGGTTTAATTGTCGGGGAACACATTACTGATAAAATGTATTGCAATGAGTATAAGTCAATTTGGATAAAAACATCTGCCAAATGCATAATGTAATGTATCAAGAGCATGTGGCTAAACGCTGTGCTTGTTTCCTGTAATATCCAATTTCTCTGTCTGCACATTCAGAGTCAAACCAATAGTTTCAATCATGTTTTTTTTTCTTCAGGATCAACTTTCAGCAGACATGTACAATTTTTTCTCAAAGGAGGCAGACTATGCCCGCTACTATGTAATGGTAAGAAGCTTTTTGTTTGTCATCCATTTGTTCAGTAACTCAGTTGCTATGTTTATTCCTGTTCAGTTCCATGTTTGTTCTGCCCATTGTTCATTCTGCTGTGCGTCCCTCCTTCCTCAATGTCTGCTCTGTTCTCAGTTATTAGAGGCACAAGCGGATTATCACCGAAAATCTCTCACCTTGCTTGAGAGCGTCCTGCCAACCATTCAAGCTCAACAAGGTGACGGCACAATTTCTTATTGCTGTGTATCTGAAATAACTACCAGTGAAACCTAATTTGCCTCTAGTGACTAATAGGCATCTCTAAAACTACATATTTTCATATATGACTAGTTGACTAATTGGTCTTAAAGGGATAGTTCACATAAAACAGAAAGTTGTGTCATCAGGTATTCACGATCATGTTGCTCCTGACCTGTATAACTTTATTTCTTCTGTGGAACATAAAACAAGTTATTTTGAAGAATGTTTCATCTGTGTTTGTCCATACAATGAAAGTCAATGGGGTTTGGGCCCACTGATTTTTATTGTATGGAAAAAAAAGCACAGAAAAATATATTATTGTTCTGCAGACAAAAGAAAGTCATAGAGGTTTAGAAGAACATGAGGGTGAGTAAATGATGACACAACTTTCATTTTTGGGTCAACTATGCCTTTAAGGAAGCCTTATATAATTATGGTGATGGTTTCAGATAAAGATGTTCATCTGAATATTTTTTTTACACAATTTGAAAGTTTTTTTCTGAGACTAATTAAATCACTGCTGGTAAAAATATACAAAAGAAGTAGCAACAGTATCTGGTTGCTGGATGAGCCATTGTGGACCATTATGACCATCCTTGGTGACTAATGTAGATATATCAAACGACAATGAAATTAATTTAGCCTGATGGTGTGTTCCAGTGATTTTCTGCGCAGTCCTCAGAGGCTCTTAATTGTTTTCATTCTCATTTGTGCCTGGAAATCTGGCGCTTGAGTGCTATAAATTGTTGTTGTGATGTTTTCCTGTGAGCACACGTGAGTCAAACAGACTTGGTGTCCCAGCATGTGGCCCATGACTAATATTTCTCACATCTCACCCACCTGGTTCTTCTGCCTTTTTCAGAAACAGTAAGAAAGAAAAATTAGAAAAGACAGCTTGAAGGGGACTTGACAGCAGGATGTAGTGTTTATAGTAGTTTGTCTTGATGAATCACAGATGAATGCTCCTTTTGTTAGAGTGTGATGCTTTCAATTAATGCTGCTAGTGAACAGTTTTTAAAACAAAGGTATTTATACTTTCCCGATAGATTCGTGGACCGAGAAGCCAGCGTTTGGAACGGCTCTGGACGAGCATCTGAAGCGCAGTGGCAGAGAGATCGCACTGCCTATAGAGGCCTGTGTTATGATGCTGCTGGAGACTGGAATGAATGAGGAGGTACAACGGGACCACTTACGTGTTTAAACAATACATTAATCGTACATGTCAACTATTATATTGTTATTAGTAATCTTTTCCAATCCGTTCAAGGCAGATCGCAAATGTTTTCAGTTATTGAACCACAATACAAGTATTGTTCAACCTTTACAGGTGCAATAGGTGATTGTCTTCAGAAAATGTTTTTGTTATGCTGGTTGAAAGTCTCTTCACATCCCGATAGCAATCATTAAGTTAAGTGGTCTAAATGTATTTATCTGTATTTATATATTCTGTGGAAGACGTAGGACCAAGAAATGTTCGTCCAATCAAAACGCTCGGTCTGAGCATGTTTTCTCACTGGTGAATGACACATGATGTAGCCCAGCGGTTCCCAATTCCAGTCCTCGCCCCCCCCAGCTCTGCATATTTTGCATGTCTCGCTTAGTTAACACACCCGATTCAGATAACCAGCTCGTTAGAAGTGAGCTACGTGCATGAACTGTGTTCCAATCGATATGATCCCTACACAGTGTTCATTGCTCCCTACTCCCTGAGCAGGAGAAATCCGTTGAAGTTTACTTAACTTCTCATTCACGGATTAGCACTGCGCAGCGTCTGGATGCGAGGGTGCGAGGACTGGAATTGGGAACCGCTGATGTAGCCTATTGTAATGTTGTCTCTGGTATTCTGGTCTGTGAGCGCATATGCGTTCAGGGGGCGTGTCTTTGGACGGCGATTGCAGGGAGTGTGGGACGTTCGCTTTCAGTGCTATCAGGCTAAAGTTAGCATTTTCCAAGATCTCCTACTGCACCTTTAACACTGTCCACATCGTACCGACACATCTCTAAAAATGCTACTGCAGCTATCCAACAAAACAAAACCTTTAAAATGTTAGAGGATGAATTTGGGTATTGGCTTTTAACCTAAATATGCTTGTATCTGTCTTTAAATTTATCGTTCTCCAGGGTCTTTTCAGAATAGCTGCAGGAGCCTCTAAACTGAAGAAGCTGAAGGCAGCTCTGGATTGCTCCACCTCACAGCTGGAGGAGTTTTACTCTGACCCACATGCCGTTGCTGGTACATTCTGTTTTGTTGTGTGTATCAGTAATATGTCAATGTAAATATGTCAATTTGAATGTTAATTTAAAACCGCACTCTCCTGATTTAAGGGGCATTAAAGTCATATCTCAGAGAGCTGCCTGAACCTTTGATGACTTACCAGTTGTATGATGAGTGGACACAGGCATCCAAGTAAGCCATCTTGCAGAACTTTACATAAAGTTTTAAAGGAATCTTGTAATGTTTGTGTTGTTAATTACTGGGCTTTTACTTTGTCAAGTGTCCCTGACCCAGACAAACGGTTACAAGCTTTGTGGGTTACCTGCAATCAGTTACCAAAAAACAACAAGGCAAACTTCAGGTGGGTTTCAACTACATCTTAATGTGATGTGGAATCAGTTTGTGCAAAGTTCTGGGGCTCCATGTATGAAATAGCACAAATTGTGTCCTAAAATGTGTATGCACAGAGGTTTCAGACTTACTGAAGTTTTATTGTAAATCATCTGCAGATTATTCATGTCCAGACACGATACTACCCAGTTTAACGGTATTAGAAACTAGAGAAATAGGACATTTAAATGTAATTTGTGCTGATAAAAATAAATAAAATTATAAATAATAGTAAATAAAATTATAAAAATGTTTTAATCTTTTTA